TAGAGGACATAGGTTTAAGATGAAAGGGGAAAGATTTAAAAGGGATCCAAGGGGCAACGTGTTCACATACAGGGTGGTGTGTGCGTGGGACAAGCTGCCAGAGGAGGTGGTGGAGGCTGGTACAATTACAAAATTTAAAAGGCATCTGGATGGGTATATGAATAAGAAGGGTTTAGAGGGATATGGGCCAAATGCTGGCAAATGGGACTAGATTAATTTAGGGTCTGGTCAGCATGGACGAGTTGGAACAAAGGTTCTGTTTCTGTGCTGTACAGCTCTATGGCTCTATAACCGTAGAACTGATTGGTAATCATTGGAATTGAAGCTGCACAGATTGATGCAGAGCTGATGATTTTCAACATGAAAATTGGTAGCCTTTTCAATATCATCACTGAAGTTTTTACCATAACCTGTAATTACACAGTTGTAGAATGTAACAGTAAAGAATGTTCTCGAATAATGAAAGCATCGATCAAGGAGCTTCAAGGTACTATTCCAGTACCCAGCAAGTGAAACATTTGCAGTGATACTGTTGGCCTCAAGTCCCCTAGATAAGGGTGTAGCAGAAAATGAATCAGCCAGCATTTTCCTTCCTGATTGATATGCATGGAGTGATGTAAAGTTCTGCCTACAGGGTCATCAGATGACAGGAGTAGTCTGAACTGTGTTCCCTGTGTTTGAGTACATTTGTTTGAATCACACATGAACAACAATCAGGTACCAGCACTTTAAAAAAACTTGTTTGGTCATGTTATGACTCACAGAGAGCAGGTGGGTCTTGAATCACTAGAGGTAGATATCACTGTATCACAACCACCTCTTTCTTTTACAGGTACTTGAGTTGAAATAGCAAGTTGTTAAGCAAGCCATTGGAGTTAATTGATTAATTAATTCAATGGATGAATATAAAGGGGGAACAGGGGTGGTAGTGTGGCTGAATGGTCCAAGGTGTTGGCTTCTGTGGAGGCCTGGGTTGGAATCCTGGTGCCCCGCCCTGTGATCAGCTCCAGGGTGTGTAATAACATCTCTGAACAGGTTGCATGGGAAAATAGGTTAAATTTAAGCAAAGGGTGAAAAGGGGGATTTTGTGGCAGTGGTCTTTGTCTCTGAGCCAGGAAACCCAGGTTCAAGTCCTATCTGATCTGTGACATGTGTAATAAGATATTTGAACAAGTTGGTTTAAAAAAAATCTATAAAGGGGGAAAAGGGAGGCAGCAGTATAGTGGTATTGTCACTGGACTAGTAATGCAGAGCCCCTTGATAATGTTATGCTTCAATAAATGCTGAATTCAAAAAAAAAACTATGAAGGGGGATCAGATGGGACTGATGTGTGGAAGGAGCTGTAAGACTGAGTAGTTCCCTCACCTTTGGTGGTCTGCATTGCTTTCATTGAGCTTTGCACATAACTTAATTAATTGGAAACATGGGTGATTTGATGGTGGTGGATAATAGGTGAAAAATACCAAGAATGATTTAGTAGTGGAGGGAAAAAGAACTCTTCAGTTGTGCATGAAGAAAGGATAAAAAGAAAAAGTAAGACTGAGTACTTAATAAACTCTATTCACAAAGAAAGGTATCTTCGTGTCTGTCTCATTGAATGGCTTGGATCTTAACTGACCATGCAAGGACATGAGTTCTACACTCATGATTGTGTTTCCCAATGTTGTGTATCTCATGCTATGCCCTACCCATCTACAAGGCCGGTTCTCCAGCACAACAACTAGCTTTTAAAAAATGTATAATGTTGTGCTCATCCAAGTTAGGATGTTAGTGTTGAGAAATACAACTCTTCATATTGCGGCATGAAGCACTGCCAGGATACAATGTAACAGGCAGTTACAGAGAGTGAATCAACTTCTACTCTGCTCCAACTTGTTGCACAGAGAGCAGCCTCCCACCCCTAATCAACCACACCAGCACGAAAGGAGTCAACCTCTGGTCTGTTTTTGTATGGTGTTGAACTGAAATTACCTGAGTTTGTTTAACATGGTAATTTCACAACATCAGTTTGAACTGCACTTGATGCAAGGTGGCAGAGTTGTCTAAACAATGCTGTCTAAAACGCTGTACCACTCAGTTCTCTGGCTTCAGGTTAAAATTCAATTATTAGACAAGGGCCTCAACAGAGCAGATGCTTTTTGTAATGAATAACAATGAGTAAGAAAACTTGAGTGGCACAAATATGCAAAACAAAAAAGGCCAAGAGAAGTGAAGACACAGAGTCAGTAACCAATGCATAGAGATTGAAGATAATTGGCAGAAGAGCCAAGAGGGGAGATGAAGAGATTTCTTTCATATAGTGAATTAATCGTGATCTGAAATGTTTTACATGAAATGGTGGTGGGAGCAAATTCAGCAATAAGATTCAAAAGGAACTGAAGATATACCTGAATGGGGACAATATTGCGTGACTTTGAGGAAAGGGAAGTAGGACTAATTGGACAACTCTTTCAAAGAAATGGCATGGATATGGTGGGCTGAATGGTCTCTTTCTGTACTGTAAGATTCGACACACTTAGTTTCTTCAGAATACAAAATAATTCAGAACTTGACTAGCAGAGTTCCAGACACGGTCACTTAAACACATGGGAGATATTCTAACCCTGGAGCTGTTCATTCCTAGCCTTAGTATGACTGACTTAGAAAGATGGGAGAAACTTGTCCTTTCTTGTCTTGTGGCTTACTTGTTGGGTTTGGCATGTAATGTTGACAGATGATCTGTATTTCTTTTAAGATATTACAGCCATTAACGTGAAACTAAATGCCAAATTGCTGGCATATTTCCCTGCCAGTTAGGAACTCAGGGTTGTGACATGACAAAAAAAAGTCACTCTGGTTGAGAATTAGTGCAGACTTGACAAAATTCTAATGGTTCTTTTGACAGGGAATCACTGCCAAGCATGTAACGAGGTCAAGTTAACAAAGTAATTTCCTAATTTCACACATGACAGACCTCCTAAATGTATACTGCTGAACTGTGCATTCGATTCATTTCTTTTTAATATCTGATGTTGATGAAGTTGATTTAATGATAAATGTGAATGGAATGTTTCCCACTCCATGCAGGGTTTGCGGGGGCTGGCAGTCTGTTGCTGAGCTTTTCCTTCCAGACTTTGAGTTTGGAGAGTGGTCCCAGGGTGTGGTGCTCAAATTGAGACCTGCAACTGGTACACATTAACTTCTTCCATTTACTTTCCTTCCAGTGAAAGACGAAGCTTTGTAATTCCTATTACCAAAAGAGGTAAAAATTGAGCCAGGCAGGTTTGAAGGAAACAGTGAAAATGTGTTCTAAACAAAGCTTTTACTCCTTCACATTGGCGATGCATGCTTCATTACCTCATCACTGGACTACAGTGCCCATTAAAAGGCTGAAATTTAAAACATGTGCTCAAATGGAATTAAACAATCATAATAACAGCATGTCCCCCTCATACATTAACTCTCCCATCAGTATCACTTTGACTGGAAAAAAGTATCGGGTGCAGCACAAAATGGGCTCCTGAGTCTCTATTCACCATTAATATGATAATTCAAGACAAATTTAACCCTCACCCTCCCAGCCATTTCAGTTGACGAACAGTTCCAGATCCCTGACTCTGGCGGAACCAGATTACTTCTGATTTTGACTTAGCCTTTCACTCCCTTTCCTATCACTAAACTATTCACTGCAACAATATCATCCATTGCTCCTGCTACTGAAATTGTCATTCCATGCCTTTGTTAACTTCCATGCTCTCCAAGCCAGTGTCAGAACCACGAAGTTCCAAAGATCTCAGCTTATCAAAAAACTCTGTTTCCCATATCCTGTCTGTCTTTTACCCAGTTTCAAATTCCTGAATTCATATTTAAAGGAGCCCTTTCTATTTTTTGTAACCTTGTCCACTCTGACAATTCCTTTTTTCTCAAGCTGTTCTTTTCTCCAACTCTGGTCTGTTGCACATCCCCAGAGCCCTTCAATGTCCCACCATTATCAGCTGCACTTTCAGCTGCCAAGGCCACTAGACTCTAATTCCCTTTTTTCATCTCTCTGTCTCACTACCTCTCTCCCTTTGACCTGGCTTTTTGTCCTCCCTCCTAACATCTCCTGATGTCTTTTCTCATCTGTTTCTTTTTGGTCTGATTCTGTTCCATAGGAAGGGCATATTAATCTTATCCAAAGAAGAGAAATCAAGGGTTATGAGGAAAGGACAGCAAAGTAGACGTGATGAATGTCAGATCAGCCATGATCCTATTGAATGGCAGAGCAGGCTTGAGGGGCTGAACAGCTTACTCCTGTTCCTACTTCTTATGGTCTTGAAATGCTAAGTAGATCGCCAGGAAGATACCTAGACTCTAATGGTTAAATTATGAGGGGAAATTACACAAATTGAAGTTGTGTTCCCCTGGAATTTAGAAAGTTAACAGGTGCTTTGATCGACGTTTTCACAGTTACAGTGGATTGGTTGAAGAGTCAACGACTGGGGCACAGTCAAAAAATTAGAGCCAGACCTTTCAGGAGCAAATTAGAAATTTAGAATGGTAGAACATTGTAGCTCTCTTCCATAATCAGCAACTGATGTTATTAATGGAAAAAAGGCACATTTTGTTGAAGCTTTAGTCTTACACTCGTCAGGACAATTTGCAAGAAATGCCAAAACAATATTTATAGCATATGAGAGGGGAGTGCTGACTGAGGTTGGTAAATAATCTCTGTTGGTCGAAGCATTGTAGTGGGGGCGGTGGGTCAGGATGAAGGGCTGCAAGAGGACGGGGTTTAGGAAGAAGGGCTGCAAAAGGCGAATGCAGTTTTTTAAACCTTTCAACAAAGGATTATTCTCAACTAACCTGAAAACAGTGTTGAGACCATTCACTATTTTTCCTCAATTTTTGGTTTGAAACTGAGAGTTGCAATTGAGAATTGAGCTTTGAACAGCAGCTTGTTTCAAAAAAAATGAGAGAACAAAAGACTGATGTTTGCTGTTCGGAACTGGCCTGGAAAGAAAAAGAAGGTTAATTACTGCTCTTAGAACATTATAGACGAAGCAGTTCTGAAATGTCATTATACTCAAGGACTTGCGACTGGTTGGATACTGAATTGGGCAATCAAGGGAAGTTGGTAATTCAAGCAAGATAGAATCCTATGTGCTTGTAATACAACCCATTAGATTTCATGAAAGTATGGTACTCATCATTGAAATGGTTATTAAGCAGGAACTAGTCTCCCTGCTAATAGAAAGGATGTTGTGAAACTTGAAAAGGTTCAGGAAAGATTTGCAAGCATGTTGCCAGGGTTGGAGGTTTTGAGCTATAGGGGGAGGCTGATTAGAATGCGGCTATTTTCCCTAGAGCATCAGAAGTTGAGGGGTGACATTATAGAAGTTTATAAAATCATGAGTGGAGTGGATAGGGTGAATAGATAAGGTCTTTGCCCCAGAGTACTGGAGTCCAAAACTAGAGGGCATAGGTTTAAGGTGAAAGGGGCAAGATTTAAAACGGACCTAAGGGGCAACCTTTTCCATGCAGAGGGTGGTGCGTGTATGGAATGAGCTGCCAGAGGAAGTGGTGGAGGTTGGTACAATTACAACATTTAAAAGGCATTTGGATAGGTATATGAATAGGAAGGGTTTTGAGGGATATGGGCCAAACGCTGGCAAATGGGACTAGATTTATTTAGGGTATCTGGTCAGCATATGCGAGTTGGACCAAAGGATCTGTTTCCATGCTACACAGCTCTGACTATAACTTATGATTTTTAAAATTGTTTTCAATTTGTCTCTTAACTGCATCTGTCTGTCAGTCGATGTGAGCGGGGGTTGGTGATCAAAGAAGACTTGTATCATTGATATTAAAGAGATTGCCTTGTAGTTTATCTGTATTCTGCTAAAGTTACATTATTACTCAAAAATTTTAAGTTCCAAGCTTGGTGTTGGTTATCCATAAAGTTTGTTTAGGAAGAATTAAGCAAATTTTGAAGATCATCAAATGTTTTAATTTCACTGTGTTGCAAATCCAGCCCAAATCAAGTCTGATTTGGGCTGGCTTGCTATCCCTATGTCCTAACATCAGGAAAACCTTAAATGACTGAGTTAATGAATTGCTTGCACATGGAGTTCCTAAGGCTGTGAAAGAACTACTACATTGGAAAAGCATAGCGGATGCTGTTGTACTGAACACTATGTCAATTGACAATTTAATACAGCACTTAACAGTTTTATCTCAAAGATTTACAGTTATGTCACATCTGAAAGCATCTCAAATGCAGTGAATAACTTGAGGAACAGTGACTGTGTTACAAGCGTACACCATTTAGCTATGATGTTATCAGTTGACAAAAAGCATATGTAGAGTGATGGTAGTTTGTGTAAAGTGTCAGGTTTTAAAAAAAATTGTTGCTAACTTATGCCTGTTATCTTGTGCCAGTTTATATATTGTTATGGCTATTAAGTTTAATGCTTTCCTTGAGAGTTGTGGCTTTTAAGTTTAACATAGTTGTGACAATTATGGAGAATACTGATGTAATCTTCTAATTCTGCTTTGTTGAGAGTCCAAATCCTACATATGTCAGCAAAAATACAGAAGGCAGTATTACTACATGAATGCATCACACAATGAAATACCTGATGAGGATGAAAAATGAGCCCCTGAAAACCGAAGAAATAGCTCCTGAAAATCAGAAAGTGGCCCTCAACAAAATCTTATGAGGCATGTTTTTTGAATATTTTGAATCCATGGCTCAAAAGGGCACTAAATGGGCACCTCCTGCTGTTTTTGTATAACAGTCTTAAACAGGGGACTGAACGGTCTCCTTCAGCTCGTGTTAAAAGATCTAGGAAATGTTTCTACATTGAAGGCGCTATATAAATGCAATTACAGTAGTTGTATAACGATTTTCTTCCCAACTTTGCATTTTATTTACATAAAAGAACCTTGACTTACACGGGCTGTTCTTCAATAATAACAAATTAGAGAATAACC